GAGAGAAGAGAGAGAGAGAGAGAGAGAGAGGTTAGGAAAATGCTTATAAAGGAAAAAATATGAGTAATACATTTATCGTATCTAAGCGCATTACTATACAACCAACATAGAATTTCAGTTCACAGAGAAAACAACCATTTATTGAACCTCGGCTCTCTCAACTAAGTTTTCTTTTATGCTCAAAAAAATTGAATAATTTTTCAATCAAAAACTACAGTAACTAACTTTGCGTTGAGCCAGAACTACCAGCGGCGCTATTAGCACTGATATTGGAATTAGCTGTTGCCATTGTTGTATCCATACCTGGGGGTCGTTTTTGATTCCTTAGCTTTTCTTCACGACGCCATTTGGCTCTCCTGTTCGAAAACCATACCTATAATTGTCCATTTCCAATCATAAAACAAAAATGGAATTCCACTAAGTGCATTTAATTGCATTTAATAGCTACCGATAAATGCATTTAATTGGATTACAAATAGAGAAGAGTGAACAAATATCATCATCAGTTAAATCCCAAAAACCGTCAGGATTGCTTGTGGGTTGGTTCGATGTCTACAATCATAGTGACTTATAGTCACTTGCTAAACTTTACTGATTTATTTGTTCTGGATAAGTTTTACAGATATGACCTGCCCTGGTCAGCAATCTATAAAAGTTACCAGTTTAATACAAATATATAGATAGGATAGATTACAATAGATACCGTAATATTTACTTAATACATCCTTTAAAGATAGTTTGCTTTCGGTTCAGAAAAGAATTTGAGTCGAAAACTGGTAAGTTAAAAATAAACACGATCTTGAAGTACTTTCAGTAAGAAATGTAGGGCTTTTGTCTCAACCCTTTGACAAAACGAATCATAAATTTATCTACAGACTTTATTCTTTGTCAGATTCCAAATAATTCAAATGATAGAAATTTTTTTAATTTTCTACCCTTAAAACTAGGGAAATGTCGCCTACTACAATGTGCTACATGAACAAATGGAAAGTAATTATAACTTTCGCCCTCATTAAATTCAAATATCATTCAATGTATTTTAATTCAGTAAGATTTTCGAGATCGATTTTTTTTGTCGGAAAGGAGTAACTTCTGGCTGAAAAGTGATAGAATTATAATTAATTTCGTTTATACAAATAGTATGTGAATAATGGGATCACAGCTCATCTGACATTGTCATCGAAATCATTAAACTGTTTAACTTACTTTTTTAGAAAACTCAATAACTTTGCAGGTAAAGCAAACCAATTTTCTGATCTCCGAGGTAAATTGTAATATGTATCGATGCAAATAAAAGTGGTTATAAAATGATTAATATATTTCATAATACAGGTATAACTGCATTTTGCAAGTTCATATTGCTATTTAACCAAAAAGTTTCACTTATACTTATGTATTATTACTTATGTATTATGTTTCAACAAACAAATGATTTTCAGAAATGATTATTTCTAAGTTTTCTTACATTCCTAATTTTTATCGCTTTTGTGTAAGCAGTAAAATGTTAACATCAAATATTCATAATTACAAGGTTAAAAAAAAAAAATTGATACCTCTAGATATAAGTTCTTGGTTCATACTAGAATAGACAGCAGTATCAAATATGCACGATTGCTGTCGCGATAGCAAAAAAGATATAACTAGTAGCTTTGAAAGGGTTTTAAAATGTTTAAATCGAAGATAGTCTCATTCTTTTTCCCCGTTAATTTAAATGCTTTCCATCAATACGGGCTCAAAGATTGTCATTGTTGACCGAACATTTCAATTTTTTAATAGGAGGGAATCAATCCTTTTTTGATAGGTTCGGGACGTTTTTTGATTTCGTCATAATAACCAAACCATGGCAACGCAGCAGATGGTGACATGCATTGTATACGGTAATGAAATGTTGACATACAATGCAGGAGGTGGCCGCCAGACTTTTTCGTTCGAGTATTTGAATGAAATTCATAACTGTTGTTCAGTTATAAAGAGGAAAGTTTAGCAAGTACTTCATAAGGGAAGTGGAAAACTAGAACAATGATATCATTTTTGTGCTTCAATCAAAAGAAATTTAGTAACTGAAGAGAGCTAACCTTAGAAAGCCTGAATGATTTGAAATTTACTATTGTACATAAAATCTCTTTCCAAAATCCCAGGACTGTTTAGAATCTATCGCACAAACACAGTTCTCCCATTCACCCTTTTATAATACGATGCTAAATTACTTAATTCTTTTAACCCTCTTCCATTTGATATCAAAGCTCTTTTTAGCTTATCGGTGAGAAAAATCTGTGCAATATGATGTGATAAGACTGATACATTCTTTGTCTTATGTAATAAAAAAAGACAGGGTCTTACATAATGAATATCAAGACGTTTATACCTGTATGCGCGCTTCAGGTAAACCAATTTTTGTAGCCAATCTTTCACGAGCAAAAACATCCGGATAATGTGTTCTCTCAAATTCTGAACAAGAGGGAAATAATAGAGATTTGAAACATGCATACAAGATTAGGATTTGGAGAAACTGTGAAATGGCATTTAAAACACGAGACAAGTTAAAGGATATGGGGAAAATTCAGTTTTGGCGTATAAACTTAATTAAAAATAATTGCTGCGTGAACTTTCTTAGTCCTTGCTAATTAGTTTTTGCATTTCGAGACAAATATCAATCTTGCATTGCATTATTTTCAGCAGAATTATGGTGAAAACAAAATTAAAAAAAAACCTTTTTCTAGGGCTTCAATTTGTTCTTGACTAAAAGAAGTACGATTCCGCTGGAGTTTACGTTTCAGCCGCATTCTTGCAGCTGCGTCTTCGTCTGGATCATTAGGTGGCTTCTGATCCTCATCTGCAACAACTCAAACCTTTCAATACTGCTTGGAAATTTGTATGATGGTGTTAATTTACATAATGATTTCAGAATATGTTTCGGGTTTACAAAGATAAAGGATGAATTAAATTTCCTCTAAAAGCAAATACTTGTTTAAAATATATTACAAAATTGTTTTATACATGTACGTCAATTCTAAAAAGATATTTTACGTATTTAGAAAAGATGACAGTTCTTGTTCTCTTTTAAACCATATACCTTCAGTACTACTCTCTCAAAATTCTAGTTTGTCTCTAACTTTAAGCATTTTGATCTTCTGGCAGCTGTTACATATTTAGTCATTTTTTTTTTAATTTACTGAAGATTTAGGTGACGAGTGGCAAGGTAAAAGAAAAAGATGAATTGTTATGTTACTCATAATATCAAGAATCAATTTCATTACTTATATGAATTCCTATTGTGCTATTTGTTCGTTGTTGGAAATGTAATTCATTCAATGATTTGGTCGGTACGGTTTTTTCGTGCTTCAAAAAATTAATTATTGGTTCAGGAATACTAAATAATGTGTGTTGTCTCTGTTCGTGCAAATAAACAAGAAACAGTAAGTATCATCGATGAAATAGATATGTAAAATGAGTAAAACGAGGACAGCATTTAGAATGTTATTTGATAACAATCAAAACAATTGGTTGTTCCCCTCTTATTACTGATCAACAAATGAGCAGAAATAGAAATTATTTGATATAGAAATGATGCTGTCACCAATTTTTTTTATTCTCTCTTCCCGCTCTCCTCCTCTCCTTATCCTTCCCTCTTATAGATGAATATGGCATTGGCACTACCGCTGCTAATTAATGAGCTCAAAAAGGCATGATCATCTGCATGGATGGATGCATCCTGGATGGATGCATCCTGGCACTAGCTACGGTATCAAATAATCCTAAATTTGTGAATCTCTGATTCAGTAATCGGTGAGGTATCACCGATTCGGTGATACTTCATTCAAACAGATAACAATTCCTACCCTTTTTTGTTGTACCCTTCATGACTTGTAAGTAAATTTTTATAGCCGTGTCATAGGCTATTCTTAAATCAAGTCACGTGTTACTTCAATTAATGCTGTGAGAAGTATCCGGAAATTCATTATAGCGCGTCTTTCGATGATCTGCCAGTGCATATTAGACAATGACTGGATACGGGTCTTCTGAAGGAGACACAAGATTCCAACCGTTAAAATGTTTCGTCTTCTGCTTAAACTGTCGCTAATTAGGACTTCCTGGTTCTAATCAGTGCAGTGCTTTCCCTACTTCCTTGAAGCTTGAATATTGCCTGTCATGCTTCTACACTACAAACTTTCGCAGCTTTTGCAGGGCGATCAAAAAATGTTCATATCAAAATTTGTCGTAATATGGCAACTACGAAAAAGCGATTATTAAGATTCGGAAAGCTGTGTCGATATAAGGAGGCTTCAAATATTAATATCGATGTGCATGACAGCAGCAGAGTATCATATTATCATGATAAATGTTGCAGGATAAAACTTGAAATCGCTTATGCAGAGAATTTGAGAGTTCTTTTTTGATCACAGTATTCTTTGGGATGAGTACCAAATGATTGCACTTACTCGGGGAAAAGAAAACTCGGTATTTAAATTAACATGGAAAGTGTCCATGTTGGAAGTAATCAATAGTAATGATAATTCATTTCCAGCATTCGATATTCTTCGAAGAAAAAAAGGGTGGCTTTGGATGTAGTAAAAATGAATGGATGCCTACCAAATTTATTTAATTTTCCGATAGTTCCTGCCACTGCAACTGCTGAACGGTTGTACATTGTACGGTTTTAAAATTTCGACGAAAATAGCAGCAGAGAGGATTTAGAAGTAAAGTGATCGAAGCACGCGATAATCAACTGATACCAAATGTTCTGTATATTTGCGGATGGACATAAATTAGTGAGCGACAAACAGTGACAAAATTCTGTTGTAAAGATGGATGAGGCTGAGGGATGGGGAGGGGGAGAAGGGAGTTTGAGGGGAGCACGGTGTGTGAAAAGTTCAAATTCCTATTGGGGAATGGGTAGTTCTATATCACAGGTATGTTCCATGGGTTGTACCTCTTCTTTCCCCTTTTCCCCTTACCCCTCATCTTCCCCCGCCCCGCACTAACTAACCGCCTCGCAACCGAATCAAACCTTGTTGTTGTAATAAACGATCGATGTTATACTATAATGGCATTCATTGCATTACGTTTTATCATTTTTTTACTTCCTTACCAGTTTATTTGAAATTCTTACCCATTATTTACTTCCAGTCAATTTTATCTCCAACGGAAGGAATACACATATTTGCTGCTTTCCCTTCCAAACCCAACATTTTCATGGAAGAATCAGTCATATGAAAATTTATTATGTTCTATGGTTATGAGACAGCTTACAAGCTTTTTTACTATCAATCTGACATGAAATTTTAGGAAAGCTGATCAACGAGAGCATTTGGAAATTTATTCTACTCATCACTTCTACGGTTACTTCATTCTTTTCTGAAGTTTTACGGAAATGGATGCAAAGATGGACTGAATTAAAGTTGAAAGTCATTACTAAGGACAGTAACAGCACCATCATCAGGGAATGTGTCAACTTGATTGATTAGATATGAATAGTTATCGCGGACATGCAATCGCTGCCATCGCAACGCATCTCACTCAAAACCCTCAATTGCAGTCACATATCTGAACTTACCCCTTTTAATACCTATTCTTCAAGTTGTTGCTCTATTACGGCTTTGGACAATTTAACATTAATAACATTTCATTACAGTTCTCAATGTCATTACAGTTGAAGCTTATAAACTGAAAAGTTAAGATTGGACTCATGAAATTATAAGCAACAGGAACTCCAATAGTCTTCATTTCTGATAAAATGATTCCATCTTTTATTCATTAACTTCTCATCCAATATCCTAGAACGCAGCATACTGTATAATTCCTTGCTTTCAATCATTCATCTATTCGAATCAGTTAGCAATACCAGTATTTAATTATAAAAAGTCATAGTTCTTGCAACCCTTAATTTTGAATATTCTTTTGAAAATATTATCATTGACAAGCAATTTGTAGTATTTCAGTACAAAAGACGAAATAAACTCATGTTGCTCCTAAGTTTTACTTTAGATGGCACCAAATTTATAGGTTGTTTTCGAGTTAATGACGTGATTTAGACTAAGAAGAATTTTTACTGCTTGACATACGATTCAGCATGTGCTTGAAATTTTCATAACAAAATCAAAATAATTACTTCAAGGAAATTATCAAAAAAATAACTGAAAATTTAAATCGTGGCAGCGAATCATTCATAGTTTGCTTGGAATGCTTGGAATCCCTGGCAAACAGTATATGAATGCAAAACTAACAACCGCGGAGAAATAGTCGAGAGGAACTTGAGTGATAATGGACTAGGAGGATTCAGTTCTTGATGATTAAATTAGGAAAATGGATAACGAAATTCTGATGTAACTGACTAAAACCATATTAAAACTTCATCTAAAATGAAAATCAAGTATTGTATTGAATCAACCGATCAAAAACTATAAAATCAGAGATGTTTCGTTTGCCTGCTATTTCAATTATATTTTGATCATAATTAAGAAGAGATTAACACAAATTATTTAAAAATTTCCTATTCGCTAAAAACTAAAGTGCTGTTTTGAAAGCAGGATGCTGTGTATGTATTAGAATATAGGTCATTTATCATTAGAAAAAAAAGATTCCGTCATCCAAAGATCGCAAAAATTTTTTGGAGACTTTTAACTATCTTATTTGATTATTTAAAAAATAACTTATGTTATTGGCTTATGTCATTTTTACTATCAACTTAAGAGTTTAGAAATCAACGGAGAAATGGTATTAATGAAATAATTTTTGTGAGAAGGTATCAGAAGATAAATGTTATTGCAAAAAGAATCGATTATTGGAAATTGATCAGATGGATGTTCAACAGCAAAATTATTTATAATAGCATTAGTGGTAATAAAAGCAACAGTGGTAGTTATTGTAGTAGTAGAAGTATTAATAAGAGTGAAAGTAGCACTAATGGCACTGAATGTTTAGAGTTTGAATGTAGAATGTTTTATTGGACATGTGAGAGTGTGTAGATTCTGCGTTTCAACAACTTAATCGAATCAGTGATTTAAAACACGTGATCATATGCTCAATGTGTCAATTTTATTTGCCAAAACCCAAATTGCTTACTTAAGATCATGATTTAATTATTTATGCCTCTCATAAAAACAAGCATTTTTTAATTTTTAAAGTTTCTTGCAAGTGTTCTCTGCTAATGTGTCTAATCATTGTAAATGCTATCTCAACAGCTCCAGATCTCTGTTCCTGTATTTTCAAAATAAATTCAAGATTGACGAGTAAAAAATATCGGTACTGTTCAGCTCGCGCAGTTCGCAAATCTCAATCAAGTGAACAGTAATTCTTTAAAAATTTTCATCTTCATAGTATTACAGTGGGAATATTACCACGGTACATTAATGAAAAGATCAAGAAATTCAATGATTCGAACAAAATTATAAACCCTGAAAACAATATCGGTTGTTGGGTAGTTCAGTCTAGTTATTTTTTCTACGTAATGAAATAAAGAGAGAAAAAGAGAGTTAAGATTAAATGGAAAGTTAGGATGAAAATGAGTTAAGTTGCTGTCTGACAACTACTAATAACGAAGAGCAACTGATAGATGAAGAACGAAACTCACTCTGCATTTGTAATGGATATATGAAAATGGCGGTTGAGTGCTGTTTGGGAGCCAGACCCAGATACTGAGCAACTGGAAATGGGGCCGTTAATAAGCAAACGGAGTCCAGGCCTACTGTTGAAGCAGTATGGGTTCCGGGAATGTAAATTTGATGACAGCGGTCGTATCGCGAGGAGCAAAACAGGTAAATGGAATAGAAGGGAAATATCACAATGAATTACTGAAAGTGCCTCTTGAAAATATCATTTGACTTCACTCTTCCA